TCCAAAGCCCACTACACCTCCCCTTCTCAATTATTTATCTCTTATCTAACTCCCTATGCAACACAGCTGATCTCATTATGCAACAGACTCAAGAAATCCTGAGCAGAGGAGGAGAGGAGGAGAGAATCAAGACCTATTCTCATATCAGGCCTCTGAGAGTTTCTGGAGCATGCTGTTAAAAATGTATCATTAGCCTGATAATTCAATGCCTCCCCAAATCCAGAATTGACCCACAATCAATAAATATTAAAGTCTTTGGAGAATGACCCTAACCAAAAATAGGAAAAAGTTTGATTTTCTAGGCTTCTTTTATAGTTGGCTTTTCTTTAAGAAGAATGTAAGTAAGATAACTTGCTTTGAATTGAAATAAGATTCTTCATTGTGAATGGTTATGTACACAAGCCTTGCTTCCCAAAAATCTCATTAGGACACAAATTACCACAATATCCTCACTTAGCTCCTTAGCCTGACACCTCTTCCGGCAGAAAAGACTGATTTGTGGTGATTATAAATGGCATAAATGGTATAAATTTCCAGTTTGCCCCATGTCTTGGCTGATTATGGTCCCTAAATTGGAAAAATCCCTAAAAAACTCACAGCTTTTTGCACAAGGTGGCCTTCAGCATGAAGAGGTTCATGCAGAGGAAAAATGGACAGAGCACCAACAGCATCTGCCACAATGGAGATTTGAATATGTGACTAAAATGTGACTGAATAATTTGATTTTGGTCTTTTGATTTCAAGGAAAGAAGGCACACTTGAGCTAGCCAAGAAAAGTTAAATTTATTGTAAAGATACCAATAGGTTTTTGGGTTTACAAGTAGAGAAACCAAAGTAATGTCAGGTCTAAAAGAAACTGTAACAAGCCCTTAAGAAGTAACGCAACTACTTGGTCCCTTTCATGGGCCAAGAATTGTATCTGTAGATGTCTGGGTATTTTTTCATCATGGTCATCTGTAATTCTAAAATCCTTTCCATCTGTAATTTCATATCTTTCTTTGGTTCAGGAAAATTATTTTTTCAATTGTGATTTTTTTCTTCCATTTGTTCCTTTTCCTCCTTCTGGGATTCCTGTTATTCACAAGTTGGGCCTTCTGGATTTGTCCTCCAACTCTCTTACTCTAATACAAGATTCATTAAACCTCCATCTTCCCAGGTTCTCCCATCTACCCTTTCCAAACTATTAGTAATATGTTACTTATAGCCGGAAATACTACAGAACTTGAATAAAGTCATCTTCCAGTAGTACTTAATAGCAAAACACTCTTAATTTACTATGATAATTGCATAATAAAAAGATAAAGGAATACCAACAATAAGTATATATGGAAATTAGTAAAGGATGGAACAAATATAGCAAGTATAAAATTAAATATTAATGTGCTAAATTACCCATAAAAAAGAAGTTTCCTCTGAATTTCTTTTGGAACAGAGCATCACCCCCATCACTTTTCAAATAATGCAAGTTGTACAAAACACATTAATCAATATCATTAATCACAAAGTACATGCAAAATATTTTTAGCTATGTGTCAGAAAATCTTTAAGTGCCAGAGCCTAAAATCAGCTCCTTTCATTGATTTTCCCCTGCAACTACAGATTGGTGGTTCTAGGAGAGAATGAGGGGAAATGAGAAAGAATACTTTCTCCTCTGAGTGTTCATTCTTTAGAATAAAAGAAGCTCGTGTTAATAGTTAAGCATAGTAATCAAAAGCAAGTAGGAAAACACCTAAATTTTTCATTAGTAAACCTTTTTTTATTAGGAAAGCTGCTAGAACATTTTTAATTTGTTCATTTCATTGCTAAACAACATCATTTAAGTGAATAGTAAATTTCAGAAAATAATCAGGCACTTTACACAATGAGAACATCTGCAGTCACCCCAGGAGTGATGAAATTACAGGGCTGTCAACCCTTGTGCTTCAGGGCATATTTCCTATAGTATTTCTATAATATCACCGGCTACGCTCAGATGTTTATTTCCCTTTAAATACAACTCACTGGGGGGCTTTAAAGTACATATGGCCAAATAGTGCAATAGGAAGGTAAAATCTTCAAACGTTTACAAAAATATTTTAGAGGAATTAATTCAAGAAAAGCAATAAACTTTCAGGGAAGGTAAGAATAGCATTCCTTCACTTGGCTGTATTTTTTTCACACACAGAGCCTGACAGAGTAGAACTCAGAATTTTTTTAAAGAATGAATGAACAAATAATGAATGAACAAAGAAACAAACTTACATGTACTTGGGTTCAAATCCCAGCCTCACCAATATTGACCTTGAGTACTTTGCTTATCCTCAGTTTACTCATCTTTAAAATGAGGTAAGTGTACCCATTTCTTGTTATTACAGGATTGAACTAAGTAATGTGTGTAAATGAATAAATTCAGTGCCCGGAACAGAGTGAACACTCAACAAATAACAGTCATTTTAAGAGCTTTCTTGGAATTGATTTAGCTAATTTTTGATCAAATGGATCTAACAACTAAATCATCTCAATATATTTCATAATAGAGCAAATATTTGTATGTTGCCTATATTATAAATCTGTATTCTACTGAATCTCTGTGAAACCAATAGTATATTACACTACAGACATTCCTTAAGGCTATTCTTTATTTTGAACTAAGCATACCTTTTCTGCTGATAAGCAGACCTCTTAGATGGTGTCTTAGATAGACCTCTCAGACAATTTGTTTGGGCTGCAATAACAAAATACCATAGATTTAGTAGCTCATAAACAACAGAAGTTTATTTCTAACAGTTCTGGAAGCTGGGAAATACAAGATCAAGGTGCCAGCAGATTTGGTATCTGGTGAGGGACTGCTTCCTCGTATGGTAGAAGGGAGCAAGGAAGCTTTCTGTACCACTCTTATGAGACCACTAATCCCATTCATGAAAGCTCAGTCCTTGAGACCTAATCACCTCCCAAAGGCCCCACCCACCTCCTGATACCATCATCTTGGGGGTTAGGACTTCGAGTAATAAATTTTGGAGAGACATAAATACTCAACCTATAGCAGATATTTTACTGTGATAAGCAAAGTTCAAACTCATAAAAAGAATAACAGCTGCTCACGTTGAAATGTCCAAAGCCCTGGCCCAAGGCTATGTGACTTTTGACCAAATGCATACAATCATCATGGAAAGGATTGTAAATTATGAATGGTACTAATATTTCTAACAATTTCTTAACAATTACCTACTTGTTGTTAGCAATTCTCTTGGGACCCCTGAATTAGATGTATCCTGCAGATACAGATGTTCCAAACCCACATGAAGAAATTCTATGTAAACAGAGTACATATGCCTTTGAACTCTCTGGACCTGACTATTTAAAAGCCAAGTTAAAAATAAATTGTATAGCACTTGTTATTAGTGTAACTTTAAATAACAATGAGACTATTTTCCCCCAAACAGTGATCAAATGCTGTTTTCATTGAAGAAAGTGTTGGAAAAATAACTTAGTTTATTGGACTATTTCTCCTAGAGCAGGGTTATAAAAAGTCTATTTTTTTTCTGGGAAGTGAAGTGGTTTTAAATTATAAATGTAGCTGCATATAATCAAATAATCTCTTTTTTGGAAGATGGAAAATGGGAGTATTTCTTAGAATTTAGAAAAAGTTTTTGTCATTTATTTCATAAATCATTCAGCAAAAGACAGCCATGTACTATTTCAAATAAATTACTAGCAATTCAAAATGTCACTTGACTCAAAGTTTTTTGTTTTTTTGTGGTTTTTTTCCCCCTTTATTATCAACTCAACAGTTCTGCAGGCAAGAGGCAGGACCAGCTATCTCCAGAAATGTTTGGGGAGAGGAAGAAGGGTGGGTGCCTAATATGTGAGGACCAACACTAGAACCCCCTTCACCCCCTTCCCATCACCATCACTTAAGGAAACAGAAAGAACCCACCCACCATTCTGAACCTGGAAACTGGGGTAAATGCTCAGGCCACGTGACACTGAATAACGCCGATTGGCGTCAAATACTGAGACTCCACAGCGACACAGTGATTTATCTGGAGCTCGTTACCGAAGTATGGGCGCTCAGAAATGGGCAACCCATTCCTATCTCGACTGAACCAAAGGTCCTGCTGGCCTTGTGAAAGCTTGACCAGGTGCTGAGAGCGGCGTGAGAACTGGGCTTTGGGAGGCAGGGACAGTGAAAAGGGTACAGAGGCACGTTCAACCCAAACCTTAAGAAGCCTCTGTGCTCAGCCTGAATTTAAAGCGGGAAATGAAGGGGCATAGATTTAAACTAATATCATGAATATTTACATCGGTCACCTAGTTTAAATCTCTAGGAAGTCGATATTATTAGACTACCAGGGACTGAGGGTGAAAGACTGGAAGAGGCTCTTCCCCGGGTTCCCTCCCAGCGCGGTCAGACTCCTGGGATGGGGAAGCGCCTAGGGCAGGCTTCAGCGGGTTCATGATGGGGACAAAAGCCTGGCTGCCATACAGAAACCTAGGCCTGAGTGAGGGCCTGCCAAGGCTGCCAGCAGCGGAAGAGGGTGGTGGTGGAGGGGGGAGGAGGCGAAGGGGGGTATCTGTTGTGGTCGGCGGGAAGATTGTAGATGGAAGGCAAACGCAGATTGTTAGCGAGAAGGACCAGCCTCCTCCGCCAGCCCACTCGCTGCGTGGAAGGGTTTCTCACGCCCCCTACTCCTGGATGACTGCACCGGATCCTGGTCGGAAGAAAGCGGGGCGAGGATGAGTCATATCGCCTAATTCCTCCTTCCGAGTCCCCTCGCCAACGCGCACGCCAGCCCCCTCCCGACTTCAAGCAGCCGGGAGCTAAGACTTCCCTCGTCCTCAGAGTCCTCCACCAAACCCCCAGTCGCCTGCGGTGAGAGGAGAAGGACAGGGCGTTTTGCCAATAAGAGATTCGCTTTCTCGGCTGCTGCCCAATAGGCCACTGTTTACAGGCAGAGGCGGGACTAGGAGGGCAGAAAGGGGCGGTCCCGGACTGGCTGCGGCCGCGACGCCAAGCTCGCAGAAAGAGCGCCTCACTCACGGGGAGTGTGGTTCTGGGCGACGCGGGAAGGCACTGCCGCGACAGCAGCCGCCGACGCTGGCCAAGGTGCTGGACAAGACAGACCGGTCGGCCACTTCGCCAGTTCAGCCACCCGTTGCAGCAGCAGCCGTCTCGCTTCCATCCGGGTCTCCATGGAAGAGATGGAAGAAGAGCTAAAATGCCCCGTGTGCGGGTCCTTCTATCGGGAGCCCATCATCCTGCCCTGCTCCCACAATTTATGTCAGGCGTGCGCCCGCAACATCCTGGTGCAAACCCCGGAGTCTGAGTCCCCCCAGAGCCGTCGGGCCTCGGGCTCCGGGGTCTCTGACTATGACTACCTGGACCTGGACAAGATGAGCCTGTACAGCGAAGCGGACAGTGGATACGGCTCCTACGGAGGTTTTGCAAGCGCCCCCACTACCCCGTGCCAGAAGTCCCCCAACGGCGTCCGAGTGTTTCCCCCAGCAATGCCGCCACCGGCCACCCACCTGTCACCGGCCTTGGCCCCGGTGCCCCGTAACTCCTGTATCACTTGTCCCCAGTGCCACCGCAGCCTCATCCTGGATGACCGGGGTCTCCGCGGCTTCCCCAAGAACCGCGTCCTGGAAGGGGTAATTGACCGTTACCAGCAGAGCAAAGCCGCGGCCCTCAAGTGCCAGCTCTGCGAGAAGGCTCCCAAGGAGGCTACCGTTATGTGCGAACAGTGCGATGTCTTCTACTGCGATCCGTGCCGTCTTCGCTGCCACCCGCCCCGGGGTCCCCTAGCCAAGCACCGCCTGGTGCCCCCGGCCCAGGGCCGTGTGAGCCGGAGGCTGAGCCCGCGCAAGGTCTCCACTTGTACAGATCACGAGCTGGAGAACCACAGCATGTACTGCGTGCAGTGCAAGATGCCGGTGTGCTACCAGTGCCTGGAGGAGGGCAAACACTCCAGCCATGAAGTCAAGGCTCTGGGGGCCATGTGGAAACTACACAAGGTGAGTCCTAAGAAAACCCGCCCCTGACTCCCCGCGCCTCCGATCTTCCGGGTATGCAGCAGACAGCCCTCTTCTTTTGCGCACAGTGCATCCCAGCGGGGGCGCAATGCAGGTGCCTAAAATATTTGCTTCCCCTGTCTGGTGCATTGCAGGAAGCGCAGGGAGATCTTACACAGTGCACAGGGGAGCTGACTATCCCCAGAGAGCTGTTGTGGGGATGCTTTAGAGCGGGTCTCCTTGGGCGCGCTGTGAGCCGAGAGCAGGGCACCCCCGCTTCGCTGCGGATGTGCAGCTTGCGAATGTGGCCAGCATGCAGGAAAGCGCTGCATAACTGGGCAGAGCAGCACTAGTGCCGAGGACCGCCAGGGCCCCTCCGGGGCAGCGCCGGCTCTGGGGCTCTGGCCTGGGACTCTGGGGAGGAGGAGGAGGCTGTTGAGTTGCGCGGACCGCCAGGGGCTGGAGCTGTTGGATAGGCAGGCGCTGCGAGTCACGGTGTGGGCGGAAGAAACGCCGCGGGCGGAATACTGATGAGTCCACGCTGGCCCAGACCCCGCGAACCCTCTGGAGGGGCTGCGGATCCTGCTGCTTTGAACTCAGGAGACAGAGGAGTGGGGTGGGGAAATTCTGTGGTCGCCTTGGCAACTTGGCTCGCAGGCTTAGATCCCGACCCTTGCCAGAGGACCTGTGGCTGGAGGAGCAGGACCTGAGGTTTCAGTGCAGTCAAGGCCTGAAGGCTAGGCAAGCGTGTCTCCCAGGGTAGCCCCTTCCTCCCAACCACCCACACACCCATTTGTCCAGGATTCAATCCTTTTCCTTTTTCAGTAGTTGTGGGTGCAAACTTTGAAGCACCTGTTACCAGATTTACGTTCCTGGTCTCTTTTGATGGAGCTTCCACCAAAGCTAGCTTCGGTGTTAAGTCATGCCACTTCGCTGCTCAGAATCCTCCAATTGTCCCCCACATTTCTCATACAGTCCTTAGAATGGTCCACCAGGACCTTCATGACCTGTTCCCCTTTGGCCTCATCGACTTCATTTCCTGCCACACATTCCCTCAGCTCCAGCCACAATGTCCCTCTTGCTGTTCCCCAGCCAACACCAGGCACCTTCTGCCTCAGTGCCCTTGCATTTGATGATCCCCCAACCTAGAATGCCCTTCCCAAAAATTCTATACCCATAGTGGAGAGGCTCTCTGTCTTGCCTCCTTCAGATCTTTGCTCAGATGTCACCTTTGCAGGGAGATCTTCCTGACCACAATTTGCTGCCACTCATCTCAGATGCCCCTTATTTTCCTCCCTACTTTATTATTCTCAGTAATAGTTATCACTATCTGGCATGCTATGTATTTTAATTATGTTACTTTTGTATATCTATTGCTTCCCTCCCCCTACACAAACTAGAAAATAAGCTTCAACAGTAAATAGATCATTATAATGCCGTCCACAGGGCTTAGAAGGAAGGGAAACATTTTTGAGATGTACATAAATTTGACTTCTACCTTTTAAGTAATCCTCTTAGTTGGGAGTGTGAAGAGCAGGGTAGGTCATTACAGGAAAGGTTTCTTCACATCATTTAACTGCAAGCCCAAAGATAAGGCAGGGCCTAAAGATGGTGTTTAGTCCTCAGCTATGCCTCCATTCAGGATTTCCCAGAATTCCTTGGAGACTGGCCTTTGAAGGCCATTGATATTTTATTTACAGAAAGAATAAAAAAAAATCACCACTTTCAGCAGCAACGGAGGGTTTCTCAACTCAATATTAATCTAATGCAATCCATATTTACAGTCATTTGTAAATATGGATCACATTCCATATATGTTCTTACATATAACCTATTAAACCATATTAGTCCTGATGAAGATCTAATTCAGAACAAATTTGAACCCACAAGGCACATGCCATTATTTTGAAAGTGCGCCGATTTAAATGTTTTTAAATGACAATTTTGAAAGTTTTCAAAAATTTAGTTCACAGCGAGTTTTTATTTCCTTTTGAGATTTCTTTCTTAAACTGCCATCTATGTTGTATTACCTTACAAAACTTGGAACTAAGAAAGTAATCACCATCTGGAAGAAAGGACTTAGAGCCATACACTAATTGGGATGGTCAAACCATAGCATTATTTTTTTCTATGAACGAGAGCCTATACTTCATCCAATAAGACTAAAAGCAACCTGTAAATATGTCTATCCTGTGTAGATTTCAAATGTTAAACCATCTGTTTCATCAGTAATGAAAGCTGTGAGTAGAAACTGTGATGGGGCCCGGGCTGGTGTTTGGATGTCTGCTAAAAAAGAATAATGTAAGCCCTGGCTGGCATAGCTCAGTGGATTGAGCGCGGGCTGCGAACCAAAGTGTTGCAGGTTCGATTCCCAGCCAGGGTACATGCCTGGGTTGCAGGCCATAGCCCCCAGCAACCGCACATTGATATTTCTCTCTCTCTCTCTCTCTCTCTCTCTCTCTCTCTCTCTCTCTCTCTATCTCTCTCCCTTCCCTCTCTAAAAATAAATAAATAAAATATTTTTTAAAAAAAGAAGAATGTTAAAGCCCTTGAGATTTGACATAAGTATGCTAGGAAGGGAATGTTGGTTACTTTTAAAAAAAAGATAATTTCTTCTCTAATCTTACACAGATTTTTTTCCAAAATAGTAAGCAAATGTAATTTTGTTCAGTCAATATCAGTGTTATTAAACTGCCAAGAAAAAATAAGGCAGAAGGATGACAGATTTTAACTTTCACTTACCATCTGTTGATGAACAACAAACATTACTCCCCCGCCTTATCTCTTTAATAAGGTAGTTAAAATGTTAACACTTTATTTTTCTCATCCAGTCTATTTATGTTCTAGTTAATGATACATTTATTATCACAAAAGCTCATGGACCAGAATTTCTATGCTCTTTAAAACATAGCAGAGCAAAGAATCACACTGAGTAACTCTTTCAAAGTTGGACAGTTAGTTATCTACGCAGATAATTACTGGATCTGAAAGTTTTCATTAATAGTCTGCCATATTAACCAGCCATTTCCAGCGATAAAGAAAATCTTGTGAATAAATATTTTCCTTGGGCACTAAGTCATTATCTTACACGCTCAAGACAAAATGACTAGTTCTTTTTAAGTGGTTTTAAAAACAAGTAGTTAAACTTCATTAGTTGTCAAGTGATCAAATTAAAGTACTTTTCAGTATACATGACCTTCAAAATCCATGAAAAATAATGCATGAAGTGGCTTTACAAGATAAATATCTGGTAATAGGTTTCATTTAGTATCATCACTTGCTATATATGGTTGTGGTTGTTGTTTTTTTTTTAGCCATCTTAGGTTGATACAAAGAATTGCTTTACAAAAAAATGATTTTGTAGAAATTGGAATCATTATTTATTACTTTGTAATTTTAGCAATTCACATTCCTAAATCTAACATTCTTTTTATTTTATTTTATTATGTATTTATTTTTAGAGAGGGAAGGGAGGGAGAAAGAGAGAGAAACATCAATGTGCGGTTGCTGGGGGCCGTGGCCTGCAACGCAGGCATGTGCCCTGGCTGGGAATCGAACCTGCAACACTTCAGTTCACAGCCCACACTCAATCCACTGAGCTATGCCAGCCAGGGCTAAATCTAACATTCTTGAATTACTGACATGTTTTATCGATTATTGAATCAGTAATATATTTATGGCGATTCTTTTGTGTTTGTGCTGTTAAGCAAGGATTTTTTTTGCTTTGTATCTTAAATACTGACTATTCATTCTGAATTTTGTCTCAATGTTATTTCTTACCTTCTTTTTGTTGATGAAGATTTGCAATTTAAGCAACATTTAAAATAAACAGCTGTTATGCCTTGATTTTCAAAGTATTTTGGAAAAAATGTCTGCTTTGTATTATGGTGACATCTCATCATATATCTACGTAGCAAAATGTGTTATTTAATGTAACTAAATGACATTCAGTTAACTCTATATCAGCAGTAAACACAATATAATCTAAGGTGTTCCTGTGATGAATGTAACGGGTAGCATGTGTTCATGATTGATTTATTTCTAAAAAGTTTACTTCTAATACAATCAGGACATTCTGTGTACAATGTAAACTTTCTTAGAGGCATTAGGGAGAATATTATAGAGAAATAAGTTGTTCCTCTTTGTGCGGAGACATAACAGAAAGAACTAGATGAGAGGAGATCTGGGTTCCAGACCAGATGTTGCCACTTACTTGGTAGTAACTTTAAACAAGTTTCATTATCCCTCTGTGCTTCCTACCCACAAGGATGTATAGGAGCCAAAATTATATTTTGGAGACATTTTGAAAAAAATTTAAATGTATATAACTTACTAATTTCAGTTTGACCCAAGAGAAAATTTTTGCACAAAGCAGAAGTTATTGTCTCAACTAGTCAAGAAATACTACATAAAAATCTTACCCCCCAGCTTGGAGTGCTTTGCTTGCTTCTTTCAGAGCACAGAGTGCAACACAAAGGCCACTCTGGACGTTGGCCTGAAGAGTGAGCCACATCGTGATAGGTCCAGGGAGAATACTCAGTTGAATCAAGCTCAGGGTATAAGAACATTATACAAAGGTTTATTTACATAAATGAAAGTATTTTGTTTTTCATAACAGAGCTAAAATGGTAACTGATATGACACATTTTTTCAGACATTATTATTACTTTGAACTATTAGAAGTTGTTATTTCTGTATATGCCAAAAAATATGCTATTAATTGGAATTCAGGGTCAAATCACAGTTTACATAAGAGAAAATTATTATATCCATCTCTTATTAATAAGGTAATGCACAAAAATTACCTTTACTGTCAGTACAAGAAACTACACTTCTCTCACCTAAACACTTTTCAAACTGTGTGTATGCATAACCTGTGTGTATGCCAACTATGTGTATGCTTAACTTAACCTTGGTATAGAGGATAGAATTCCTTATAAGATAAATGTTTAAGAACAAAATAGTTTTAAATAATGTCATTTTTATCAGTCTTATCAGGGATT